CGCAGGTCTTTCAAGGCCGCCCGGTTTGCAGCTTGTTTTGCGGCTTGTTTGGCTGGCGGTGGTTCATCCTGTTTCCCGGTGAGTAGCTGGCTCGCTACCGCCGCGTATGATCGGACTGAGGACGGCTTGATTTGGGCTGTGTGTAAGGGTCGCCCTTGGGGACTAAGGGGAGCCTCGCTGGGTCTTATATCAGCAGCATGCATGGACCTTGCTAGACCACGATGGTGCCAGTCTGAACGCTGTTTCTCCTCTTGAAGCTCTCTCTCCAGGGATTCGGTCTTCTTCAAACAGTCTTTGAGAAGTTGTTCCCTCTCAGCATCCCTTCGTAGGAGATCCTGGACGAGATTCGAAAGTCTGTTGATCTCTTCTTTAAGGTCGGCATTTTCTTGATAGTTGACCTGCTCAACTACTCTGATCTTTGCGGTCGGTTTCCGGACACGTCCCGACCGTCGAGATGTACTGACGTCCCCGTGAACCGTGATCGATGGCTCTACACCGGGAGAGACCGCCATGATGGTATGATTCAGCTCCCGTGGGCTGATGATGAGAAATGATAGTACTATGGGCCGAGGCCCTCTATGGTGTTAACAGATACTAACAGTGGGTCTGCGGAAAAGGAGAGTCCTTCGAGTGATGATGATGATGATGATGATGATGATGTATTTAACGTCTGGTAACAAAAGGACGTGCCGGGCGCTATGCCGACATGGTCTATGCTGATCTAAACTATGTTACAGGCTACCGTCTTCACCTAACGTTCCTGTTCAATGACTCGGGCAAATTTCGGAAAAGAAATTGGTCTCCTCTATCCATTCGCATAGAAGAGAGGCTCCCTTAGCAGAACCTAACAAGAAATCGATGCTTGCTTTGGCCATATGTTGGCGGAGGTAGCGCGGTGTAGCCTTGCGTCCACGCTTGCAGAAGTAGAAATGGACTGGAGTCTTGGGTTTCCCACAGCTGCAGTTGAGCAGCGCATCTTGATGAGAGAATCTCTCGTGGTATGCTGCAAAGTCTCCATGATGGGATCTTGCTGCGTATAGCCTTCCTAGTAGGTGCCGAGGGAGGCAGAGTTCGGGCGGCTTGGGATGAGGAACTATCTCGAGGTCAGCATATTGCCGAGGGCATTGCGACAGCCATTTCCTGGCAAAGGCTTTGAAGGCAGCTGCTCTAGCTTGCCTTTCTAGGTGCGCTAATGAGGGCTGTGGTTGTGATTCTGGGATTAGTTTGCAGGCTTCCTTGGCTAGAGCATCCGCTTCTTCATTTCCTGGTACTCCCGTGTGCCCAGGGCACCACCAAACATAAACCCTGCCGGGGGTTGTCCAGCTTTCTCTTTGTCTCCGAGTCCAGGAGGAAGAGAGCCCATTGAAGGCCCTGAATCTAGCCTGGCTGCTTCCTGTGCTCTGGGAGTATAGTCTAGCCGCGACTGCGAGGTTGTCGAGGCAGATGTGGACGTTATCTGCCATACGAGCCGTAGGAGCCCGGGCGGCTTCCATCAGGCCGTGATACGCAGCATGTGCCTCCGCGTCATACACCTCAGTTTGGGAGCCGAGTGGTTCGGATCCGCGGAAGATCTGCCGTGTAGCTTGGTACCCTACCCAGCCTGCTCCGGCGGAGGTGCTGCTGCCGTCTGACATCTGGGACCCGTCAGTATAGACAACAATATCCCGCTTGGAGAAAGTTGCCACCCTGCCTACAAAGGAGAGGGCCTGTTCTTCTTTGGTCTTGTTAGGCTCGTAGCCGACCCTGGCGAGGACTGTCTGCCAGTCCGCTAGTTGCACCCAAGGGGGGAGTTCTAACGGATCGATGTATTCGGAATTTTTGCTTACGAGGCTTGCCATTCGTCGTAGCCGTGAGTCTGGTCCTGATTTGTCTCTGAGTCTCGTTCGGAGAGGGTGTCGCTCGTCCAGACGATGGATTCTGGTAGACGCTTTGTGGAGCTTCGCGTCCAGTATCACCTCTGCTGGGGGTAGAGCCGCCTCGCGCTGTAGGATCGATACAGGCGTCGTTCTATATACGGGGACCATCGCTCTGATGGCTTTGGTTTGCGTCGCGTCCAGTTGGTGCAGCAGATTACCAACCCTGTTTGAGATAGTACGTCCATTCTTTATCCGGCTCTTGCCGGGCCACCATGCTTCAGATGCATAGTACTGAGTGGGTAGTACACAAGAGGTGATCGCTCGGCGAAGTAAGTACGCAGGCGCGCCCCAGACAGTGTTCCCTAGTCCCCGTAGTCCATTGACTACTTGGCATGCCTTCGCGGAGAGGTTTCTTACGTGACTCTTGAATGTGAGTTTACGGTCGAAGTGAACGCCGAGCCAGCGTAGAGAAGAGCCTTCTTTGATGGCCTGAACTGTATGATGCCTCCCATCCGGCAACTCTACTGTGATTGATGGGTTTCCGTCTATTCGTCTCCTGGTGAAGTGGATGAGTTCGGACTTGTCGAGGTCAAAAGTGATTCCTTCCGACGCGCCCCATCCTAGGGTTTCTTTCCATTCCTTGCTTAGGATGTCACAGTTGTTCTCTGGTGATGTTGAGCTTGCCAAGATAGCGACGTCATCGGCGTAGCCGAAACGAGATCGCTTCCTTCCTGGGTGAGCTGTGCCTAGCTTGAAAAGAGGTTCAATATAGAGCATGAACAGAATGGGAGACACGGGTGAGCCTTGTGGTAGCCCGCATTCGAGACCGAAGACGTCTCCTACCTCCCCATCAAGCTTTATTCTTGCTCTCCTTCCGACAACAAAACTTGAGACCCAGCGTACGAGGTTCTCCGGCCATCCTTGTTCGCGGAGCCGTCGGACCAGTCGTCCTGGGAGCACGGCGTCGAAAGCCCCTTTTATGTCAAGCGTAAGCATAGAGGTGACCAGGCCTCTTTGCCAGGCGCACTCGATGTCGTGGATGGCAGCTGCGGTGAGGTCGCTGCAAGACCGAAGGGGGAGTGCTCCAAACTGTTGATCGTGCAGAACACGATGTTTAACTGCGATCCAGGCAAGTCGTCTGGCGATGAGTCTCTCCAAGCCTTTTCCAAGGACGGCCAAGAGCGCAATTGGCCTATAAGAGCGCGGGAGTGTCTTGTCTCTTTTTCCCGGTTTTGCTAGGATCACGAGAGTTGCTTCTTTAAAACAAGTAGGATGCCAACCCTCGCGTATACACCCGCTATAAAGTGAGAGGACAATATCCTCGATAAATGGCCATGCTGTTTTCAAAGCAGCCGTAGTGATTCCGTCGGTCCCAGGGGTCGTGTTTCCCGCGGTGAGAACTGAAGACAGTACCTCGTCCTTCGTAACCTGCGGGAAAGGAAGCGTAGCTTGCCTATGTGAGACTGGGCTTTCTGTTGGTAAGTCCTCGGAGATAGCAGCGTTTCTAAGGAGGACGCGGGTAAATAAGTCGCGCTTCTCTTTTGGTTGTGAGACAAGCGTGTCTTGGTTGTCTACATCTCGGAGTGGCGGGGTCTGAAAGAGTCCTGTGGTTTTGTGCCAACCGACCATTTCAAATATGTCTTTGCTTGAGGAGGCTGAGGAGATCTTATCTTTCCAAAAGGCATCCTTGGAGCGTTTGAACTCGTAGAGGAAGTCCTGTTTTAGAGCTTCGACCTCCTCTTCTTCCCATTGGCAGTTCACTCCGGCTGCGCTGAGTCTTGCCAACATCGCTCGCTTATTCGCATAGGCTCGGTGTTTGCGTGTGCAGCTTTCGCTCCAGTATGGTCTCCCTGTACCTTTCCCGAGCGTGCGCTTTGTGGAAGCCGTGAGTGCTCGAATAAGACAGTCCGTAAGCTGTTGTGCTAGGAGATCCAAAGACTGTGGGTCTTGGATGTTGCTTGCAGTGCGGCGCATGGGTTGTAAGTTGCGTTCAATGATGCCGAGGAAAAGCTCCTCGTCCATCGTCTCGAGCCGAAACCTTCCCGGGGTCGGGCTGGGTGAATCGATCAGGGCCAAGGGGACCCGGGTAAGCAGAGATTCGTGGTCTGATGTTGTGTGTAAGGACGTTTCTATGCTGGTGGATGCCCCGTGGAGGTTGCTGGACGCCCAGCATAGATCCAGGGTGTTGCCGCCTTTGTGCGTGGGTTCACCTATAGGTGACGTTAGGACAAGGCTGGCGGCTTCTGCCCATTCTACCAGGTTTTCAGCGTCCGAGGAACTTGTGGCCTCGGGCTGCCACGTCCAATGGTGTAAGTTAAAGTCCCCCGCAATCAGTACTCGATCCTCAGGTTTGGGTTGCCAGGCCGCTAGGATGTCCCTGAGAGCCTGGCCAGATCGCAGAGAGCCACGAGGGGCGTTGTATACGTTGATGACTGTGAGAACCTCCTTCGTTCCTGAGAGGAGTCGTAAGAAGAGCAGGTCTGTGGGCGGATCGGATAGAGGCCGTGTTTGTACGCCTCGTAGCCCAGTTCCTCTGCGGAGGTAAGTAAGCACCCTGGGACGGTCTTCTGTCCAGTTGTCCACCGGGGTGAAAGTCTCAAAACCTGGGTGGTGTCTTGTGAGCCTCCTCTCCTCCGAACGGATAGACGGCTCTTGTATTAGGAGTATATCAACCTGGGCTGCGTAAGCCAGGTTCAGTGCTGTTTCGTGGGCGGATGCCCGTCTGCCCACATTCGCTTGCATGATTTGCAGGGTTTTAGAGGGCTGTATTCTTCTCTTGTGTCTCATTCGCCGGGGTGCAGTCCATCGCTTGCTCTTCTTCACGGGAATGTCGATGCGACTGCTGGGTCGCGAATCTCCACAATCTTTCTCCCTCAGCTCGGATGGCCCGTAGCTGTGCCCTATTTCTCCTCTGGACTGCGCCCTTCACCACTTTGGGTTTAGTAGGGCAAGCGGCATCAAAGGCGGCGTGAGGCCCGTTACACGACGGACATTTAAAGGGGCAATCGCAGCCATCGTGACCCTCGGTGCCGCCGCAAGGTGCCCGATGTTGGTCGGTCGTGTGGGAAGGAGAGCTGCACTTGATGCATCTCTTCCTTCTAGTACACGTTCGTTCGTTGTGAAAGCCACCGCAGCGGTGGCAATGGGGAGATCTCTTCTCCTTCGGGAACTGCAGGTTCACGAAAACGCTGGCCCCCATCAAACGGAGGCGTCTTGGTAGTTGCCTTGCGGCTTCTGCCTTGAACCAGGCTGTTACCGTGCCTAGTCTTTCGAGTTCGTCTTTCCTGGAAAAGTATGCTTTTTCAGGCTTGAGTTTCATCGTCATCTGCATCTCTTCAAGAAGCTCCTCAGTCGTGATTTCCAGCTCAGTGTTGGTTAGTAGGCAATGCCTGGTGTAAGGGACGTTTGCGATATATGCTCGGATCCAGGTATCGCGCTGTTCGACCGCTTGCGCCTGGAGAAGGGCAGCAATCTGTTCTCTGTTATCTAGCAGGATTTTTGCTCCATCTGCTGACGAAGGTAGGAGTGCTAATCCTGTCTTGACATGGTCGATCCCCTTCAGGGCTTCTCGAGCTTGGGGACTTAGCTTTTCCCGAACGAAGACATATATGTCGTAGGCTTTCTCGTTACGAAACGGGCTTTCAGGTGGTAGACGCGCGAACAAGCGCAGGTCTTTCAAGGCCGCCCGGTTTGCAGCTTGTTTTGCGGCTTGTTTGGCTGGCGGTGGTTCATCCTGTTTCCCGGTGAGTAGCTGGCTCGCTACCGCCGCGTATGATCGGACTGAGGACGGCTTGATTTGGGCTGTGTGTAAGGGTCGCCCTTGGGGACTAAGGGGAGCCTCGCTGGGTCTTATATCAGCAGCATGCATGGACCTTGCTAGACCACGATGGTGCCAGTCTGAACGCTGTTTCTCCTCTTGAAGCTCTCTCTCCAGGGATTCGGTCTTCTTCAAACAGTCTTTGAGAAGTTGTTCCCTCTCAGCATCCCTTCGTAGGAGATCCTGGACGAGATTCGAAAGTCTGTTGATCTCTTCTTTAAGGTCGGCATTTTCTTGATAGTTGACCTGCTCAACTACTCTGATCTTTGCGGTCGGTTTCCGGACACGTCCCGACCGTCGAGATGTACTGACGTCCCCGTGAACCGTGATCGATGGCTCTACACCGGGAGAGACCGCCATGATGGTATGATTCAGCTCCCGTGGGCTGATGATGAGAAATGATAGTACTATGGGCCGAGGCCCTCTATGGTGTTAACAGATACTAACAGTGGGTCTGCGAAAAGAGTCCTTCAAAGGGTGCTCAAGTTGATCATTCGTCATCTTTATTCGCCTAATAGAAGCTACATACGATACACGTGACATTAAATGCACAGTGTGCACGTTTTGTCCAAAAAAACAGTTTTAAGCACTGCCGGCATCTTGCATCTCGGTTACAGGACGAGTCCAGATATCTGCAGTCCCAGGATTCACGACATCTGAGAAGTGTCAGAAGTACTCGGCATCGGGCGAGGTGCCTCGCGACTCACAGCATAGCCTGTAGTGTGACTTCGTTTTTGATCTCGTCTGATGTTGCAGACACTGCATAGCAGCACAACCATGAGAAACAACGTGCCTGCCAGCCCTCCGATGATTCCAAGTTCGACCGGCGTCATTGCACGTATGCCGTGGGGAGTATGCTTTCTGGTGACAGCAAAGAGGACGACTCCTGCAGACGCAGTCGTCCTTTGTACTTGTGCATTCACCTGCATGCGGCTCGATGCAGCCGGTAGATCGAATAGGCGCTGATTAGCCTTCGTCACTACCGAAGCCGAAGTGGACTTCGCAACAACGCACGCTTATCCGTGCTTCTGGCCTGCGCCTCCAGAATCTCAATCGTACACAGCAGGAGAAGCTGAAGGTGGCTAAGAGAATCCGAAAGCGGTTAAAACCACACAACTCTGGGATAGAGCAGGTTATGACTGTGCCCGAGGCCAAGAGAAATCTCTCATGTTCCGCAGGTATAAAGACGTCACAAATCCGAAGTTGGTCCACTCTAGCTACTGGCATCATCAAATATCCGCCATGACATTTTGGGTCGCCCGGGTCCTGAGCCACTTGGCTGTTGTATCCAGTGTCCTACGTCACGTTTCAGGAGAGCAGCATGTAAACCAGCTTGTGGAAAGGCAGATTTCTTTCCAACCGCGCGGTTTTCTAGATTCTTGCGTTGATTGGGGCACACTGATGAACGAAAGATATAAGATGGTCGCGTTTTGCAGGACCACAACGGGCGATTGGAACTGGTCGGTCCTTGACTTGAACCATTGTATAGTGAATCGCGACGGTTCTTTGATGGCGCAAGACGAGTAGGTCTCTCTCAGAGTCACTTGTACAGAATGCTGATGACTACAAGTGGATCCTTCTTCCTGTCTGCCGGTCCCTGCTCGTCTGATAACGCAACGAAGTCGTGGGCCAATTATAAGTGCAGCACGCAAAACGACGACAGCGACGAGCGTCACGTTGATCACGGGATAGACCTTAGTAAGGCGTACAACCTGACGTACTGTCGCAAGCGACTGACACATCTCAGATTTGGTAGTCGGTAATGACAATGGTACTCTATTCTGTGGTCAACAACCCCACAAGGGGCTTACGCTCAGCCAAGGGCAAGCTGGCTGGTCTGGCTTGGGCGTGGTGAACTAGGGTGGCAGCGGACAGTTGTCGGTGCATTTGGATCGGTCACTCTCATCTCAGCAATAGCACCCTCGTTACGGGCCTTGGTGGAGCGTAGGCTGGTCCCGTGATCGTTGATGAGCGGCGGTAGCCATGCGCGGACGTCTGACGAGTTCAATGCAGCGCTCGATAGGGTGGACTAGAAGCGCCTACTTGGGCTAGGTAAAGCAGTATAGCCGTCGCGAATACTCGTCCTTACCTTGGCCTTCCCAGAGCATCCATCCCATGGGGATGAATGATTCGCGGTCGTGATGCTGAACGGTTGCCAGTCTGCAATCTCTTATTGTCTGTCTCTCTGTCAACACAGCGATGTATCGCTCTCACGTCGTGCATCGATCAATCACTACCTATACGTTCATGGTGCAGCTAGGTGTTGCTTTGATCCAGCAAGCACGGCTATGAAAACTTCCCATATCAACACTGATGCCCGGTGGTCGGTCTCTCGAGTCGAAATGACATAATAGAGGGTGAAAACCGATCCACGTTCCGAATGAACACCTTGGAGATTGACCTTGCTTTGAAAGAATGACGAGAAAGGTCCCGGTTCGGCATGGTGTAGAGATCGTAAATGTCTGGTGGAACGCTCATACATCCCGTCACACATGTTTGCTGGAGAGAGGCTCGAATCGTGACATACACAACTTGAGTTATGAACTGGCTGTGTCAGACGCTAGAAGCTGCTTGCACGGGTCATCCGGTCCTTCGAAGTCGTGCGCATCACGCTGGAGATGTGCGTCGCTCCAGAAAGGTTCCCGTGAGGTTATCCACTTTTAGGACTATCTGTATCGTCCGTTCAGGTTTTACATTTCCGGGCGCAAAAGATCGACCTCAACGGGATCAGGCTTTCAAGAGAGATCACACAATACGGTACACTTTTTGAGTCCATGGTACGCGCAATGTGCCCCAAGCACGCGCTGGACTCAATAGAGTGATATGGATACAAAAACCGCGATACAACACGGGATCCTGGCTAAGTTGCCCTCACACGACGGCGCCGGCCGGCAATATCGGCCGCAAAGGTCGACTGCGTCCTTCCTCAAACGCAGAGGTTCTGTCTTCCGCGATACGTCAGCGTCTGGTAATCAAGGTTGAGTCAGTCCGCGGAGCTGATACCGATGGAAGACTACTTCTGTTGCTGCCTTTCAGTTCCTCAGCTTCCAAGCTTGCACTCGATCACCTCGGAGCTCATCGCCCTGTAGGTCCTTCAACCTAGCATCGTACGATGGCATGCGATGGCTAGTGCGTCCCCTCCCTACCTTGGTTTCCAAAATCTTACGGTCAACTTTTTGGTCGTAGTGCTTGTTGCGGTGTCATCTCACGCTGGGTGATGGATACATGGTGCCCTGGATCTAGAGACAAATGCGCTCAGCTGCACCACGAGATTTGACGGACTGAGCGCGCCATGACCGACGTCCGAATTTCGCCATGCCATTGGTCAAGTGCATCTGATGCGCTGACTCATTCCTTCGTGAGCCAATCACATCCGCCATCTGCCCAAGAGCGCAAACCCCGCGGGAGATCAGGGGCACGCTGATAAGAGATGCTCCTTGCCAAGACTCGACCACAAGCGAATGCTTCACAGCAAATTCTAGAACTACATTGACGGAAACAACGCATGGGAGGCTAAACTCACATGGTTCAGTCCGGGCTATCGCCCGTATTCTGCCTCTTCACACCGCGTGGAGCCCGCGTAGGTCCTGCTCAGCGATCCACTTCACAGATGCTCCGCTCACACAATCTCTCTCCCTCAACCGAGGGTCAATATACATACAGAAGTCACCCCTCCGTGGCCTCACGGAAGTCGGGCTCTCACTACCTAAGATGGCACCAAGCAAGGTCTCGTTGCGGATCATTTGCACGCGCCTTCCTTCGAGTTCGCGTATCAACTTTTGGAAAGAAAAAGGCTTACGACCGGTCTTAGAGTCGAGTGGTATCCTGAAATACATTATGTCCTACGACTTCAATGCTACCCACACCATCGAGTGTTAGTAAAGCAAGCGTGGGATTCAACGCCCCCCTCTAAGCACGCTCAACTCCTGGAGCCGTGAAAGCTACCGTGGATACTATCGTGACCCGTCGCCTACGTGTGCATCGTGTGCTCAGATCGTAGGCTCCTGTTCAGTGATACCCTCCGAATCAAGAAACTCATCAAGAGCGCCAGTCCGGATACGCCGACATACAGTCCGTAGACGCCTCGCAGGCCGTACACGTACGCATCCACGATCTTGGATCGCAGCTCAGCGTCGTCGGTCGCGGTGAACAGGGCGGAAATAGCATGGGCACCCCCGTGCGTACCTGCGGGGGCCAAGCCATCGTCCTCTAGCTTGCGCAGCATCACATTCTGAAAAGTGGATCCGCCGACGCCCACTCCGATTGCCATGCCAAACTGTCGGAGAAAGGCGTACATCGCCGCGGCGATCGCTTCGTCGCCTTCGTCGCAGAGAGCGTGCGACGCCATGTTCTGCGCGTTCAAGATGGAGCCATGGCCAAGGCCAAGAAGGACGAGCGTCGGCGCCCATACCTTCGTCGGCGTCTCGACGTCCCACAGCATCATCAGCCCGGAGGCGACGGTAGCCAGAGTCCAGCCAGCCCAGATCGGCCACTGGTAGTTGTTGAATACCGTGACAAGTCGACCAGTGATGATGGATGCCGGCACCAGCGTGAACATGACGGGGAAGAGTGCGACGCCGGTCTGGACCGGAGTAAACCCCTTGACATCCATAAAGTACAGGGGCACGTAATAAAGCTGCCCGTACATCTGTGGTCACTGTCAGCGTGTCACATTGCGCGCTTGATATCATATCGCTCTTACCACGAGCCTTGGATGGCGCCGCAAACATACGTGGCGATGGAGCTGGCGGTCTGGAAAAGTCGGCGTTGCAAGAACGGGGACATCGCGAAGCGTGACTCGTAGATCATGGTCAGCGCCATACCGACTGCCCCGAGCAACAACGGCACAAGAGTGCCGGCGCTGCCCCAACTGTAGCGCAAACCTCCCCAGGAGACGGCCACCAGCAACAAGGTGGCCGAGCCGATGAACATAGCGTTTCCCAGCCAGTCCATGTCGTCGAGTTTCTTAGGCATTCCATCAGCCGGAGAAGCAATGTTGACGAGCCAGGGCACGAGAACAAGTCCAGCCGCGCAAAATGGGAACATGATGTAGAAAATCCAACGCCACGTTGTGTGCTGAGCAATGACGCCGCCTAGTATAGGACCGGCACAGTTGCCCAACGCCCATGCTGCCTGACTAGAGACGAATGGCGCGGTCAGCAGAAGGGAGAACGAGTCCGAGAGGGAGGGTCCTCACACTACGCCGTACCACGTAGGCCGAACCGGCAAAGGGACAAAGTCGGTGAAAATCAACAGGCATAAGACGATGATGCCAGCACCGCCGATGCCTTGGAGAGACCGTCCCACCAACATCAAGCCGATGGAATGCGACACGCAGATCGATGATTGTCGGCAAAGGCGCTTCTGGTACCCAGACATCAGGCCCATTTACGGCAGATGGCTTGTGACCATTGCGAGGAGCCAAAAAAAGTCTGAATTACGTTGCGAATGAAGAAGAAAAGCCACTCCTAGCCATGTAAACGGCAATATCTGGCGACCTTGAGAATGCTTCCAGCGCAAGGCTTCAACAGCAAATTATGGACACAAGTTGGATGGCTGGAATGTATAAGGCTCAACACGAGATCTAGGCAACTGACCGAAGCTTCGTTACGCTATCAACAACATGAACGATCATGAAATCTTCCGTCGTCTTGCTACATACCCTTTCACCTCCGCAACATTGAAGATGTTGCAATGCGCTTTGCAGGTCATTCAGAAGCGTTACCCGCTCGCCTCTCTTCAAGATGGAGGGGATGCAATCTTAGAATACCCGTCGCAGGAAGCTTTCGAGCAAACAGAAGTGCCACTACATGTCACCGGCGAATGGATCAGCTTAATGAAAATTGTAGGCGATTCCATCGACGCCCCAGAACAGAGAGTGCCGTTGCCGTTGCGACTTTTCGCTAGAGGCGAGCAAGCAGACGTCGATATGATCGCGGAATATCTTCGCTTATTACGGCCGGCTTATCCGTCTTTCCACTTCAGTGATCCGGTAATCTTCACGTCTGACAATACAGAAACAGCTGCGAGGCTCTACGGGACTTTTGACGCCACTACGCTCATCCCATGCAGCTATGATGGGGCGTGGTTCGCGGCCGTTGCTTACGCAGATTGCGTGCAGCTATACGGAGCACAGGTTGAAAGCAGCTCGAAACTGGAGCAACAGGCCCAAACCTTGTTTCCTGGCCGCACGATCTGTTTCTCCGAGCCACTTGTCACGACGCCGGTCAAGGACCCCGGAGCATTGATGTTGTTGAGCTTGCGAATGCTGGCCGGCGGGGGTGTGCCAACAATGTGTGCCGACGCCGCCTTCTTGCAAAATTTGCGAGCACGAATATGCGTAGAGCTTTTGGCCCAGAACCTGGATGTCAGGGACTCTGATGTTTCCGAGCGGCTTCAGCAAGTGCAACTAGAGAACTCTACCTTTTTCGACGAAGCGTTCATACGCGAAGACAATTCGCCGTCGCCAGTCGGCTCAACCTTCACAGCTGACATGGGGAGTAATATCGGTCCGTCTACCTTCGGTGCCTCTCCCTCGCCATCTCGGCTGTTTTCGCCCGTCGGAGAAGGGCCCCCTTCAGCAGGACGAGGCTCAAGCGAGACTACTTCTGCGTCGCCCAAGGATCTGTACCGTCCATCGTTGTTTTCGCGTGCGGTTGGCCCCTCTCCGAAGGTGACCAAACTACGTAGTGGCATGTGTTTGGCACGAGAATTCATGGGGTTTCACACTCAGTGTCACCTCCCATGCCGCCCCCCATGCCAGAGGAATGCAGAGTCATTCTCGGTATGCTCAGCGAGGCCGTGGCTTTTTACCGGAGCTCTCGCCTGTCGGGAAGTACCGAACTGGCAGTGATGTGGTCTGCTATCAAGAGCGGATCCAAGAGCGAGTTCTACCGCCGCTACATTGGTTTGCTATTCTATGAGGAGATGGCTCGCCTCAGCAGCGACCAGGAGGTCGCCCTACGATTGAAGACCAGCATCACCAAGCGCGAGCTCGGAGAGATGAGGCGTCACCAGTCGGACTTTCAGATATGGCACGACATTTGTGATTTGCGCCGCGACTGGGGGCCGGGTCGATTTGTGCTTCTTTGTGCGCTGCCAGAGAGCTTCCAGGTAGGGCGAGGAAGCAGAACAGAGAAGCAAGTGCAGCTTAGAAGAGTCTGCAAACGGCTTCAAGATGATCGCGACCCCCTATCAGGATATCTGGACGTTGCTAAAGAGCTCTGTGCTGCTTTGGTTCAAGTAAACCTCCCATGCGAAAGATTGATGATCGATGATTACCACCTCAAGGCATATTCAGAAATGTCGGAGCCGGAGTTTGCTGCTTACATGAGCCTCAGTCCCCGGCCAGTCATACCGATATCAAGGTGGGGAACCCATTAGTGCACGCCATATGTTGTCTGTAAGACGAGCAGGTAGTGGCGACGAAGGAAACAAGGAGTGAGGCGTTCATGAAATCTAGCGTCAACGTATTGCATGTTCGGCAGCAAACTTCCTGTGTAGCTCAATTGAATTGTACGTATTCTATACGTGTGATGCAACATGCCATGAATTCCGGATTCTTCATTCGTCCGTCCGTCCGTGTTTCCGGCGGCGCTTATTGATGTGGTAGTTTTTTCAACCGGCTCCACCTAGCCACCCAGCAGGAAAGCAATAAACGACTCAAACAGAGTCCCAGTTGATGCATTGATACATACATCCGGAAGGCACGTTGATGCTTTATGGACTGTTAGACGGAAGTTGCGCAGCAGGAATTCTCAGTGTTGGGACGTCCACAAAATCCACAGGCACCTGCAGCGAACACTCCTCACACATGAAGATTCACAGACCACTCTGAGCCTTACCTACAGGGTGAAACGACATAGCCTTGGTAAATTCGTGCAGTATATATGCGCCCGTTGTCTGCTAGACCTGCGATTCGGCTTCGGGTACTCGTCATCCTCGTTCCTACACCCTTTCCTATAGTGCCATGATTTCCAAGATCGTCATAGCCCTGCATGTCGTCTTGACACTAGTCGTACTCGCATTAACCGTCAAGACTCTGCAGAATGAAGCGAACGAGAAGAAGGGAATAGTGCAGATTCTGGTGCGTAACTCATCACGCCGACAATGCGGGACTAACGGCAGCGAAGCTACATCAACAAGCAAAGCGCTTCGTTCAGGTTCCTGACTTGGTCGGGTCCATCGCCACAGCGGTGCAAAGTGCCGCAGCCGGCGTGGTCACTGCCGCGGTCGCATCGGGCGAGTCCTTGGTCGCCGGCAGTCTACCGTCTAGCATATCAGTGGGCACCAAATACGCGTGCGTGGCTTCAGAATGCGCCGCGATTCCTGGTCACGCCTTTCGCCTGATTCAAGACCTGGCCCCGTCCCTCCCTTCGTCCGAGGAGATCGAACAGCTGCAGAAGCTGGTAGATAAATGCCCCAACCTGGAGACTGTTTTGTTCGCCGGGCTCGGCCTGGTTTTGGTGTCGACCACACTGCTGCTTGCTGGTCTCAAGTTCAGGTTGCTTCGCTTCGTATCGCTGGGGCTGGACGTTGTCGCCGTCGTCCTCTTCGCGGTAGTGACGGCCTATACAGTCTCTCTCTACAAGACATCTCAGGCTGTGGCAGGCCTGCTTGGAGTCGAAGCGAGCAAGGGAGACGTTTTTGGAGCATCTATCGCAGACTTGACACTGTGTCTGATTATTACTGCGCTCGCTCTGGCGCAGACCGTACTGTAGAAAAGGGATTGAGGCGCTGAGGGGTTTTGGCGGGTGATGTATGGCTTTCTTTCCCAGTCAAACCGAGCCCTTCTTACATACAACACCAGATGGGAGACGACGGATAAGGGACGGAAGTAGCCATCTTGGATCGAACAGAGAGTCAAAACAACCAGTGAGATTTCGACCGCTGACAGCTCATTCGGGGCAAGCTGAGTACTTCGCATAAACAACATAATGGCCGCATTCCCATTCATGAACGCATCTGTCAAATGTAATCTCGCCATCGTAGTGCATGATCCCAGTGCCCCAGAGGATAGTGCTTCTTTCATCATCCCACGGCAATTCCTTACACGCCATCTCGTCCTTCCCAGCCCATTCTCAGGTGTCAGTACGCCTATACATGATCATCATGAGCGTCCGTGGTGTTGTGTCCCTGAACATCACGATCGTCTTCGTGTCCGGACTGACCGGGCTGGCGGGCGGACCACTTCATGATATCAGGCAGCTTATGCGTCTCAACACGGACTCTTGTCAGTCGGACGTACCGGATGATCCTCCTATGGTGGTCAGCCAGCAGACGTTGGAGGAGACCCTTGCGCGCCTCGGAATCTCTCCCGAAAAGGTGCGATCTAAAAGTCGGTCGAGAGGCGAGCTTACGGCTCTCATCGGCTGCGATGCCGCAGGGTCGGCCATGGAAAATCCCCGCGATGGCAATGACGCTCCTAGTTCGTTGTCCCCGAAGACGACAGCAGCTAGACTGGAGCTTGTCATCGATCGCATCAACTCGAGCATCCAGAGACTCGATCATCAGCTACGTGTTCTCAACGAAGCACAAGAGCGATTGCGAAAGCTGGCAGCGTTGACGGCAGAGGAGGTGGATTGGGATGATCCCGTCACACAAATTCGGTCGGAGGAAGCGCTCTTCGACTGTGAATCGGAGGACGGGGATACGTAGACGGAAAGTTGCTTGGCTACAATTACCATAGAAGTTACCGTACATCCGTCTTGAGGCTTGAATCAACAAGATGTGTATGTGCTAGTATATACAGTGTCACTAGAGGGGAATTGCCTGCAGAGATATTACAAAGGACGAGCTTTTTGAAGCATTTACGTGCCCAGAAAACGAAAAGAACCAATACCTCCATCCTCCTCTACTCAGAACTGTCGTCCATATAACTTGCGGAGTGGTGGTCACAGGGCTAGCCCTTGATCCATTACCGCACCGGTTTACGCCTTCTCGAACAGCCTGACATGACGCGACCGCGATGGTATCAAACTAGATGGCCCATCTAGAATACCGGCGACCTTCTGGGTGCTCGGTGGCCTTGAAGGGCCCACGCCTGTTCGTGTTCCATATTCCCGATCAATGACCACATGAGAATTGGGTCGATAAGAACCAAAAGAACCCACCCCGACACCGACTGGACACCACCGTCATCCTTGACGAGGAAGACATTCGGGTCAGACATCCTCCTTGCCGACACTCCGATCCAAGCGAGGACTTGAGGCGCCCTCGCCACTGGTAGCTGGCATCTTTTGACATCTCGTTCCAAGCCTCACTTCATCGCAAGCCTTTGGGCAGCTAGGGTACTGTATCGTCGTGGGAAAGGCAGGCGTGGATCTTGTTGAGCGCGCCTGTGTGCATTTGCCAGTGCTTGTCGAAAAAGACTATTGTCTTGCTTGTGGGCCCCACATCCGATCGAAT